TTTGTGGTTTTATGGACTTTGCAGCCCTCTTTGAAGCATGAGTGGGGCTACTACTTGCAGGGACTACTGCCTCCATTTTCCTCTGGGATCTTGTTAGTACCTGGTCAGGTGAGGTTGGAGCCTTGACATCCGTGTTCTGCTGTGGGGTTTCAACAGCATTCTCTGTACCTTTGATTTCGGCAACAGTACTTTGTGACGAATCCTTTGTTTGGGTTTTTGCAGCATTCACTTTATTCACAGCAGGTTTTTCCACCTCCACTTTCTCAGCTTCAGTCTGCTTTTTATTGTCAACCTTGCTTTTAGATGTGTCTACGGGGTTATGTTCAGATATTTTAGGAGACCCTAGTCGTTGAGAACATCTCTTTGGCAGTTCTTCTTTTTTAGTTGGATCTCTTGAAGCTCTACTACTGCTCTGAGCCTTGACTGCCTTCTGTTGAACAGGATGCTTTGTAGTTTTCTTGCCAGCCAATGCTTTCCTTCTTTCCATTTTTGCCGCCGATGCTTTCATTTGTTTACTGACAGGTAGGGGTGACTTCTGTGCCTTCAGAGATCGTTTCAGATTTGACTTTGTGGCAGACTTTTTGGTGGCCAGTGTTTTCATATTGTTGGTTTTTAAGGATTTTGAGGCCTCTTTGAGTCTCACATTGGTTTGCTGAACCTGCATCTTCTCTCGAATATTAGAGTACTTCCTCAAGATCCTTGCACTAGCTGGATTCTTTGATTTACCAGAGGATTTCTGGGATTCACCTATTTGTGCACGGGCTTTGGCAGAGGACTGGGACTTAGTCAAAGTCTGAGTAGTACTGAGAAGTTCTCTTTTCTCTTTCCCTTTGACTGCATTTGCCTCTTGCTCCAGCGCTTTAGCAATTAGTTTCTGACTCTTAGGGTTGCTCTTTACAGGAGAGGCGATGGCAAACTTTTTCAAATGTTTCTTTAAGCGCTCTGCCTGTAGGCTTGGAAATACCCCCTGAGAGGTCCCTGAAGCACTAGATGAGCTGTGGAAGCACAGCTGAGTTTCTGACGGAAGACGTGTATTCACCTTCTTGACAATGACAAGGGACTTTGTTTCTGTTGTTTCAAGGAACCAGCGACAAATACTAGTGAGATTAAAACCTTTCATGAAAAGCATTTGGACCGGTGAGTATTTCTGGTGCTCTGAGGACTTTGACTTTCGTGCCCTGCGTTTACTTTTCCATATAGCTGCCTGCCTGTCTGCTTTGTTTTTGTATTTTGTTACTGGCTGACCCTCTTTGTCCATTTGCACCCAGCCTTTTTGCATTTTATCATACTTAATGTTCAAATTTGTAATTAGTTGTTGGTTTTCTTCTCCATTCAGAGTCTCAAAGAATTTGTTAGTTTGCTTTGGGGGCTCAGGTCTTGGTGTGATGACAGGGAAGGCTGAGCTGTGGGACTCAACAGACATGAAAGACACTGGAGAGGGTTTCACCTGAGCTTTGATTACTCTTTCTGTCATTATTCTGGCATGGGAAGCTACGTCATTGTGTCTTCCAGCTGCAGTAACAGCACTGGTAGAGGGTACAGCCAATCTTTGTGACCTCAAAGCTAATTTCTTGTTGTCCACTGGTGATGACTGAGTAACAGACTGGTGGGATGTTTCAGCCTTACTGCTCTCACTTCTTAATGGCATTCTTGTGGGTTTGTTTGGTATGGAAGAACTGATATCATCCCCACTTCCAAACCTGTCTTGTAAAGATGCTACATTTGGCTTTTGGGGCAAAGAGACATCACTTACTTCTGTCTCCTTTCGGAGAACTCGCTTACTTCTTAATGGCATAATCTGTGTTTGCACTTCAGTCTTTATAGGATTTTGTTTTTCTAATGGACTTGACACGTCACTGCTAAGTTGCTGCTTCTCATTCTTACTGTCGTCTACGAAAGCCTTTGTAGATCTTAGTTTATGTTTGGGCTGTGATCTATTTTCTACTTGGTTTGTTTGAATTTCTTCAAAGGTTGTCTCTACTGGTTTTTGTGTTTCCTCAGAGGTTGTCTCTACTGGTTTTTGTATTTCCTCAGAGGTTGTCTCTACTGGTTTTTGTATTTCCTCAGAGGTTGTCTCTACTGGTATTTTTATTTCCTCACAGGTTGTCTCTACTGGTTTTTGTATTTCCTCACAGGTTGTCTCTACTGGTTTTTGTATTTCCTCACAGGTTGTCTCTACCGGTTTTTTTATTTCTTCAGAGGTTGTCTCTACCAGTTTTTCTATTTCTTCAGAGGTTGTCTCTACTGTTTGAGTGTTTTCAATGTTTATTTCCACAGTTTTCTCTGGGACTGTGGGCTGTTCAGAGGTTGCAGGGGAAGACGACCTGACTGGAGAAGGAGAAGTAACAGAGAACGAGGAAGGAAGGGGGAGGGAGGGAAGTTGCTCTGTAGATGGAGGAGCATGGTTAGCAGTAGGTTTTGCAGATGAACTAGAAGTGACAGCGTTTGATTTGGGCAGCGATACTGGAGTTCCAGCTGGTTTCTGGCTGGCTGATCGAAGTTGCCGCTGATCAGAGAGGACAGGCAAACTATCCCGATCTCTCTTAACTCTCTTTTGTTTCTGGGTTTGTTTGGTCGTTGAGGGAACTTTTGATGTTGGGCTTGGTGGTGTGGCAGAAGATGGTTCATTGACCTGCTGAGTTACAGGAGTAGTTTCAATCGATTTTACAGCTACCTCTGTTTCAGGTGGATCGTTCTCTACATTTTTGTTTGCAATAGTTGAATCAACAGTTGATTTAACAGGAGATTTGTTGGGGACATTCTGACTTGATTTCACTGGGGTTTTAATAGGTGATGGGGTGCTGTTACCTGATCTACGACGCAGACTTCTGTCAGAGGCTGATATGGGTCTACCATTGACAAAACCCACTACCACATTTTTTGTTTTTCTTAACCGCTTTGGCAACTGCACTTCAGTCCCTTTTTTTCTGCGCCAAGGGGGTAATTCATTCGAGAGCACGTCAATTGACTTGTTATACACGTCGTCTTCATCATCCTCATCAGCATCATCTTCGTCAGTCTCTACAGGCAGAACACTGTCAGCTGTTTTGGATGCTTTACTTTCTGGCTCTTCCGCTATCAGCTGCTCTGCTGAACCTGTGGTGTTGGACTTTTCTGTCTCTTCAAAGTTGTCGTGGTGCACCTGTGTCTCTGGTTGAACTTCCTGAGGTTGATCATCTTGTATTCCCTCCCTTTTATTTTCCTCCCTTTCACCAATTTCTTCCTGAAATTGATGCACCGGTGATGGGGTGCTAGTCCGCTGGGGAACAGGCTCACTGTTGTGCAGTTCATCTGATGAAAGCTGAGGCTCATCTTTTTCTATGGTAATATCCTCTAATGGTTCCACTACTGTTTCTATGACTATTTGCGCTGTACTTTCACATATATCCGTCTCTTCAGGCTCAGGCTCGTTGTCTTTTTCTGCTTCAATTGGAGTCTGAGCAACACTTTCCTCACTTCCTGGTGTTGTCCCTGAATCTGCAGCTATATGCTGTTCTACATCTGTTTCTTTGTTTTCCGTTGGGGACCTTTTCGGGGATGAAGGAGCAGACTGCCCGTTGCTCTGACACTGATCTGTCTGACTAGTTTCAACTATAATATCTACTTCACTGGCTGCTACCTCCACCATATCTCCTGTTCCTGGTATCACACTCTCATCAGACTCCTCTGTGGACATCTGTTGATTCATTGTCTCCCTGCATGCTCCAGCAAAAGGCATATCCACAGGTGGTACACCTTCAGGCTTCGAAAGTATTTGTTTCGGGGTGACCAATGTGATCAGCTCAGGCATTGGATTAGGACAGTTGCCCCTCCCAGCCAATGTACGGACAGTTTTTAACTCCCAGATTTCATCTGAATACATATGTCCTCTAGTGCTTTTTCTGGCATTGCGGCGGGGGAGCATGCTGCGCCGACGTTCCTTGAAACACTCTGTAATTGGTTTGTCAATAAAAACAATGTCACAGTGGCCGAGATCAGGGTCAGGCATTACCCTACAAGCCGAGTCCCTGATCCGATGATCAGAGGATGGCCTGATGGTCTTCCTGGCAGTCCGTGGAGAGTCTGAAGGAATGGTCACGTGGACTGAAAACAGTCTTGCTGAATTATCTTTGGCATGTCCGAGAGTCTCTTTCTGCCTAGCTTGATGTGGTTGACTACCCTGACTGTGTTTCTTCACAGAGGAGCTGAGTCTAGCGCTATGAGTCTCTGTTCTGCTGGATGAATTTGAGTTACCCTGTCTGTCCTCCAAAGTGTCTGAATGAGATGAAAGAGAAGTGTTGAGGACACATGACAACTTCTTGCCAGCTGCAACATTGCTGGTCATGATTTTCATCTTAAGAGGAGCATGATCACCATGACGGTTGTTGTCTGCATCTACTGGATTAGCAGCAGGAGTGACTAGAGCTTGGTTACTCCCTGACACAGGGCTGCGTAGATCCAAGGCAGGGCCAGAAGATGTTTTCAGCGACACTGCATTCTCTGGGGCTTGTTTCATTGCACTGCTTGGGATAGAATAGGACATAACCTGGACTTCTGACTTGGGAGTGGATTCAAACCTTAGCTCAGGGCATGACTTCTCAGGGGTGACTGCACTGGATTTCACAGTGGAACAAGGAGTTCCCTGGATCCCAGAGGTAGAGTTAGAGGCTTGTTGTGTATTGGAAGATGCCAGTGCTTTGACCTCCGTCTGTAGAAAACCTATGGCATTTACTATCTGTCTCTGGTGGTGTGGACAGAGTTTGGCCATGAACTGTTCCAGCGTGGAGGTGGACTGCAGGTCTTTTGCCTTTGCAATGGGCAAGTCTGGATACTCACTGAGGGGGGAAAAGAACAAAATAGATGTAAATGCACATTAGGAAGAAGCAACACTGGTTTGTACTAATGATTGGTATGTGACTGTTAGACCTAGGTCTCTTTATCCATACAAGTCCATTATAAAGTTGTCAAACAGTGGTGGAGCTAAATGTTTGTGTGAAATAATTCACAAATGTATGACAATGCTTATCATTGCATATTTATTAGAAGAATAGGTGATTTTAAAAGTGAATCTTTCATCCAGTGAACTTGACCAATTACATTGTTACAGCTATTACATTTTCTTCTTTGCACAGTGGTGCCTTTTGTTACAGTATACATCAAGAAATTCTTACACATGCACAAGACATTTAGTAATGGTGGCCCACTTTGATTAAAACAAGTCAAACACATGTTTATCACTTGAAAGAGCAAATACATTGGAGGGAAATACAGAGTACATCATTTTTGTCAAGTTTTCATGTATTTAATAGCTAGTGCAAAGGGTGACATTTAGATACAAGTGCTCAACAACGTAAGACAAATTAACAAGAAAAAGAAAAATCAAGCGCGATTGAACATATGCAGAGTTAGTTATTCTGTTACCTGTGAGGTTTTGTTTGTGCCAATACAAATCTAATGTAGTCAGTCAACTGAGGGGGGCATGTTTCTGTATTTCTGGCTAGAGTTTTCTTCCAGTGAGGTAGGCCTATTACAAAATCTTCCAAGACCTTTGGAGCATTTATACCATCACATTATGCCAAAAATATATGTATCTTATAACTGTGAAAAGTTTATTTTCTTTGTAAAAAAAAAAAAAAAGTCCTCCCAAAGCTACACTGTGGTCTTGTAAGAAGAAAATAAACAAATGAAACCACATCTGGATTCCTGAGGTGACACGTCACAAGGCTATGCTGAGTAATGAATAAGAGAAATAGCTTCGCCCACAGCGTGTGTTGCTGAGCAAGAGGTGCTGGCAACTGTAAAATGAACATGTGGTTAGAAAAAAAATATATTCTAATGAACACTGTCTAAAATTTGCTTAAAACAGATACTTAAAAACTAATTGTATATTTGTATGCAACTTTTACTGCTGCATTGCCAAATATGCTACTCATAGTTTTATTTTGAAAATGCGAAGCTGAAATCTATAACCTTTCACATGTTGTCACCTTTAAAGCTACTGCAAGAATCATGAATATCTAGTGTTAAGCTTTCTGGGTAGCCTCTACTCAGTGCTAGTTTCCAGCTATATAAAAAAAAGTGGCAAAGTTAAATTTGGATTTTTATAATTAATTTTTTGAACTGTCAAACACACAGGCAAATGTAGCTGTGTGTTTTAGTTTAAGTATACTCCAGGAGATGCATGGACAAACAGTGATTAAAAGCATTATAGATTTCAGCTTTTAAACCGCAAAGTTAACAATACAACCTTTGAAGTGGCCGGTGTGAATGCCCTAATACAGTACATGAGAAGAGACTTAGGACTTTTTGTTGGTATGTTCAAAAATGCAGTTTCATGGTGTTACATTTACACATTTTTTTTTTAATAAATATGTGCTGTTTGAGGCACTGACCTGGAAAGAAACTTGTTAATTAAATATCCATTGGTCAACATCTTACCTACACTGAGGTTGTATTGACATTAATTGTGTGATAAAATATAAAAATAATAAAAAAATAATAATAATAAAATAAAAAGTGAAAAGGTGTACTATGGGTTTTTTGGCTCCAAACACAAAATGATGATTTGTACAGCATGCCAAAATATCTCAGTTGTATTTTTTAGAGATTAAAAAATAAATTTTAGAGATTAAAAAATATAACATTTGCTGGAACTGGAACCTGACCAATTTTTTTGCTAAGTTCATTAACTTCACATCCCTGCATACAAGGCATAAGGAGTAAAGTGGAGTACCTGAATAACAAGTGGTAAGTGTTTTGTCCCTGAGGGTTTTACTCTCTGTTTCACTTAGCGTTGCAGTAAGGAACTGACACAAAGCACATGCCTTTTTCTTCCAGAGGAATAAAATAACCAATCTAATAAGCAGAAGCAAACCAAACTCATTTCCACAATATTTCACAAGCACACAAACATGGATGTGTTAACTTATCCACAATGTTCATATACTGCACAGTAGGGATATAAATAATCTGGCAACTATGAACTACTATATGTTATCAAACATCTTCAGTGAACTACTAACCAGATTTTGAACTGGTTACAGGATATTTCACGTTCACAGTTAATCTAGCCTATCAATACATTGCTGACTTGACGGTAAACACACCAACACTCAAGTATTTTCAATAAAACATCCTCAACGATAAACTTCACCATTTACAACTAACTTCCCACTGACACATATAATTTAATCCAATCATGCAAAATATACCCAGTGTCATTCCTTTATACATTGTTAATGTTAAATCAAATATACACAATCTGTACATATCTTTATGGACAGGGGTACTCTTAAGTCATTTAGACTTGTATCCTCATACATTATATTAAATGAGCAAAAGATACCCAACTTATGTCAGAATAAAGTGGGACAATCTTAAATGTTATCCCTATACATCTATTATGTAAGACAGTTAAATATACCATTTAATCGTTATCTATGTCTATCAACACTTATGTGAATAGATTTTTGTTTGATTAAAGCAGTCTACATTCATGGTTACTTAAGTGGTGATAAAACCATTAATTAATAAATACTGATTAATAAATACTGCATTAACAAAATAACTCCAAACATATCATAAGTTTGAGAAGGAACTTAAGGGGACATAAACTCTTTCCCCACTTTGGGAACATTAAGGTTTCTCCACAGCAGGAGATCATCAAAAATGCTTTTGTCGCAACTGTCTGAACAACATCCCCACCCCAAAAAAGAAAAAAAGTATTGAGACAAAGAAAACATTAAATAGATCAGGCTGCAATTAACTACAAGGATACACTGAAATATTTACATAGAGTTGAACTTGACAGATTTTCTACTGTCCTTTATAACTTTCTGACAGCTCTTTTTTGTAAACTATTTGCCTTTGCTCGAAGAATTTTACAATAAACTGTGCTGTGTGCATGAGAAATTGCTACATTAAACAGCTATGACAACAGTAGACTGTGATATGGGTTTTCCAGATGAGGTAGTCGACCATTAGATTTGCTACAATAGACAATAAGCACAAAAAATGTTTAACCTGTCAAACCCAAAGCGCTCCTTTATCTTTAATATATTAATTAAAATGCATTTAAAATGCATTTCTCTGAACGAGAGAGCTAAGAGTGACTTTTAATGCTGGATGATTGTCAATGCAAGAATAACTGAATTAATGAAAGTGAATCAGTGACTAGATTTTACTTAATTGTACTTAAAGTAACTGCTTTGTTTTACTTTTTCAACCGAGGCAAAGTTATTCAGACATTATGTGAATACATATAAAAATCATGAAATTTAGAGTGCTTGATTAGTTAAACATAATGAAGATTTTTACCTGTAAGTGAGAGGAAATGCAAATTGTAACATCAAATCAATAAAACAACAACAAATCAATGAAATCAAAGAATTGGAGATAGTATACAAATACAACTAAGAATAAGAGAACCCAAAAAGTTAGGAAGTTTACCATCTAACATAAAGTTACTCTGTTATTACAGTGCTTTTAACATACAAGTGTGCAAGTCCCTGAACTATACGTTATTGTTGAACCAACTCTCATTTAAGAATGTTTACAATCCAGACGATTTTATGTCATATATGCCAGCAAATATAATAGCTGAGTTAAATGCTTGTAGTGAAGCTCCGATCATCAAAACATCGACTTTCTTTTAAGCAACATTGTGTACATCAAAAATCCTGAAGAATTCGCAACAAATAATAACCGAGATTTGCTAGAGCTGTGTATCGACCTGATAAAAGAATAATGGGCCATGATCCCATATTCTGGAATGTCCTGAGGTATTAGTGATAATGCACGATGAGGTGTCCTGATAGAGCAAGATAACGGACAAGACAGAGTCAAAAACAGGGAGTTCTCTCTGCCGAGTCCACCAGGCAAAAATTCAATGAAAACGGCATATAATGGCAACACCGGACAGGCCTTTTTTAAGATTTTTAATACTAACCTTTATGTATGTAACAGCACCATGACCCAACCAAATCTATAATACTAATTTTAAGGAAATAGCATCAACCTCAGGTGTATTATAGCCAGGTAAAACAGAATTATCTCAAGGAAATGGCAGAGGAAAAGTGTTAACCCACACTCTTACATGGTGCTTCAAGATGCAGTTTTCCCCCCAAATTAAAAAATTGCTATAAATCCATAAAGCATTGTTGTGGAAGCAGTAATGACCTGTTAATAATTCTGGGCTTGTTTATGACTAGTAATTAGAAACAATAAAAGGTTAATCAAATCTAAGTAAGTGTTTTGCAGTATGAGATAATTAAGATTATCACTTTTCCTCTCCACTGTGATGAGACATTTTCATTGAATTTTTGCGTTGGTAACGTCAGAAATAGGTGGGTGTGGTTTGAGGCATGATTGTAACAGTAGCTAACTCGGCTAGCCAGCAAATGTAAGTAAGCTAGCACCGTCAGCCGGTACATTAGGCTCGAGCTGTTAATATTGCTTGATAAAAGTTTTGTTTTTTAATGACTTTGAGCTAAGAGCTGCTAAAAATGACAAAACTGCTCCTAGATTTTATTTAGACTCACACAAACACAGGACTAATGTTGTTTTCTACTTTTCCTGAAGTTAACATTTTAAGATGTACCTGAATGTATTTCAGAGAGTTAGGAATTGTCTGATACCAAGAGTTTGTTGTGACTGTGAATAAGTCGGGCACGTTAACACAGTTCCATTCACACAAACCAGGCGAGTGTTATTAAATGACCTGAAGAGACAATTCTTTATCATGTGCCATGGGCAAGCAAGATGTGTGTGTATGTACAGTATTTGTATAACATGTTCATACATCATAAATATGTACGAAATACTAATTATATATTTGCATTATTTTGATGGTAAAAGAAAAAAAAATCTGCCCTTCTCATGACTTGGAGAAAGACATTCCCAGAGAAAATACCTGAAATCTGACAGACAAGCCCTGAATCACAAAGAACTGAAATGCCCCGAAGGTTCACACTGGCACTGAAATGCTACTGATAACTATTTAAGGTAAGTTGTGAAGACATCTGAGAGTAGAACACATACTTGTCAGTAAGACATCCTGAAATGTTACCTCAAAAGGGGGATTTGAGCGTGTTATCCTTCCCCGCTAGAGGTGACTCACATGAGGCAATGGTTTAGTTAAGCATATCTTTAGCTGAGGTATATTTATGCGTGTACAGTGATCTGTTATCTGATAGAGATATTATCTTTGACTGACAAGTACTGCATCCCAATCTGAAGTGATCCTGAGTGCAGTGAAGGCAATGAAAATAATAACACCGTTCACGTAGGACAGCAAGACACAGAGAAAAAAATATAGGTGGAAAAAATGTGTCATGCTCGTGAAGATAAACTTAATTCGGATTTAAAAAGGAGAGTGGAATCTGGATGACACATCATGCTATTCCAACAAACTAGAATAATAAATAAATATTTTGGATATAGTGTTTGGAATTAATATATACTCTGAATATATTAGTGTTTTATTTTCTTACATCTCCAGTGTCCATTTCAGTCACAGATGTGCATTTGCAAAACAATGACACAAGCCTTCGCTGTCATCCATCTGGGCATACATATTAACTATACATATATTCAGTTTGAACATATAGCCTAGTGCTCTGGACAGTACTGAGAAAAGACACTGAGGGGCGCCATGTCCTCAGACATGATTCAATCTGGCTGTGTGTGTAGAGAATACATTTTAAGAGCCAGAAATGATTATTTTCTAAACATAACCTAAATAAATAAAGTGAAATTAATTAAAAATTAACATGTTAGAATTCATAAATAGCATGCATGCCTTTCAGGCACAATATGTAGGGCAGGGAGACACTTAAGTGTTTAGCTTCGATGGCCAAACATATTTATGTATTATTGACCAAAAGTGAGGGGGCAGATTAAGTAAGTTAAGAATATTTCATTTTAAATGTTACACACAGATATTAATGTTCTATGGAAAAACAAATCAGCTACTACCACTGTCTGGCAAATGCAACATCTGTCATGTTAAAAAGTACATCATCATTAGTACTCTGCGGATATATCACTCATTTGACGAGAGGCTTCCCTCATGGAAATCATTTCCATTTTCGTCAGATGCACTCTCTCTCTTCTCAGAAACAATGAGCACAGAGTGTTTGAGGTCCTTTCTCTCAGGGGACCGTGAAACACCCTGCTCCTCCAACTTTATCAGCTTCAGCTTCTTTTTCGGGGGATGTTTCAAGGTCCCCAGTCGCTCTTTAACTTTGTATTCCAGGGTGCTGTGTGGAATGCCATAGATCGTTTGGGCTTTAGACACACTCATTTTCCCACCCATGACCACTTCGATAGCCTCTTCAAGCAGGTCAGTGTTGTACTGCCGATATCGCCCGCGCTTCTTCCTTGGCTGCTTGTTACCTAGGTCTGACTCTGAATCCAGTGGGTAGCTTCCCCCCACGGTTTTGCGGTCAGTGTCGTAAGGCCAGTATTCTTTCTCTGAACCTGAGCTACTAATACCTCCACTGCTCTTTTTCTGGATCTGCCTGGGTAAAATAGACCGAAGTGCCTTTCCCAGACCGTTCTCACAAGCTGATCCTGAATACAGTGGGGACAAAGAATCCCAAGACGAGTCGGTTCCTGTTGCCAAAACTCGCACCTGGGGAATCTTGAGGTCAAAAGATGATGAATGAGAAAGGGAGAGGCTGTGGTCCCTGCAGGCCTCCTGGAGGTTTCCTTTCTCATAGGCAAGTGACTTTGTCCAAAGTCCAGCAGCTTCCAACAACCTGGGTATGTCTTTAAGGTGCTCACTAGCCTCACTGTTGGTTTTGAGTTTGAGGAGGGCCCCAAAATGACTTTTAGAATTCCAGGAAGCAGATCCATTTTTGAAAAGGTCAGTAGGTCTGGAGCTGTGGCTGAGAGGTGACTCTGGGTCGCTCTCCAGATCGGGCTCCTCTTTGATGTGCAGCGAGTATGCAAGAGATGAGGAAGGCTTATAGCGGGTGGAGTGGCCGATATTCTCCCTCCTCCTCCCATCCTGTAGGCTCCTCATAAACAGCCCGACCTGCCCGTCCGCTCTCAAGGATCGCCTGATTGGATGGAAGGAAATTGGGTGTAAGCAGAGCTTGCACAGTGCCTTTTTTCTCTTTTCTAAAGGAGGATGGGTTGGGGAGGGGAGGATGTTGGCCACTCCTTTATTATATGACCTTGCTTTGGTAACATCACTATCTTTTAAAATAACTGACTGCGTGGTTGTGTGTGTGACTTTTAAGAACAAAAAAGGCTCAAGTTTGACAATTTTTTATTTGCTTGCTGTGATGATTGTTTACAAAATTTGCATCAACAAAAAAAATAAGAAACAAAAGGAAAAGAAAGGGCAAAGCAACAATAAAAATAAAAGCAAACATAAGGGCATTTCTTGGAGTACAAAAAAGGTCTCGGCTCAAAAAAGCATAGCCAGAGGGAGGCATTTTTTGTCATTGCAGTAAGGCAGCTTTGCACGTAGCTGTTAAGCAGGGCACACTATGTCATACAAAATGGCTAATGCAAATAAAGCTCTTGACATTTTGTGTGTGACGTTACCACTGAACAAGCGCAGAAATAAAAGAGTAAGCCAGCAGAGGGTTGTGTGTGTCAGAGTCAAAACCTAACTGACTGACAGAAGTGTGATCACATTAGAGGAAAACAACTGCACTATTCATTAGGAAGAAAAACTTATCTGGTAGTTAGATCGAAATTATTATTATTATTTTCCTTTTAAATGCAAAATTGAATTAATCTCCAGAGCTGTCATTGTATGGACATTATTTAGGGGTCAAATTACACAACAATCCTAACCATTTCAAACACCGACATAGCTTAACTCAGGTTTTCTAAAAGTATTACTCGATAGGCCTTTAGTGTATGTAGCTTTAATATATATTATAGCTATTTTCATCGAACTGAGAACAGTGTGCATGTTATCCGTCTTATCAAAAATCAGAGGCAGCTATATTCTGCTAGGAATGAGCATCACTTTTAGATCCTATCAGCTCTCAAAGCAGCAGAAGAGGAGCATGCAAAGCCACTGGTGCTTAATTAATCCAAATAAAAGTTTAAACATAGACACATTCAAGTCCAGATGGGTATAACAGTATCAAGAGGCTTTGCTCTCAAGAAAAACAGAACAAAACAAAACAGAACAAAACTAAACAGTGACATAAATCAAATAAAAATAAAGATATCGTCTCAAATGTTTGAAAACTACTCGTGTTACCAGCATGGTAATAGGCATACAAGCAATGCTTACGTTTTTGAGATTAAAACAACTGCATGCAATCTTTTCTTGGACAAGTAACATGGTGTGCAAGTGTGGATTAATTTAAACACCTCTACTAGAGCATTACCTTATCACTGGGAATCATTTAAGTCTCTGAGGACTGTTTAAATGACAGCATATATCTACTGTCTACTACATTTGTGCAGGGTTTTAGTCCTCAAGGAGCAGTTTCTCCTGGCTTTATTTATCCTGGAATCTGTTACTGATCTCTTTTTTTGGACAAAATGTATGGCAAAATGCAAGAAAATTATATCATCAAGGCTGCAAGTCCTGTAGTAAATCATCATTATCAAGCCAGCCGGTGCCTTGCCAGACAATAATGAACAGAAACCAAAAACAAGGCTGAGCTAACAGAGTCCTTTTAAGCCACAGTAGTTCACAAACTAACAAGATGTTGCCCTTCAGTCCCTGGCTGGCTATACCAGTGACAGGTCAGACAAAAAATGAGGACCGGGCAGCTGCAATAATTTTAAGTCTGAAAGGTCATATATTTTTAATGGCAGCATGATACACACTGCATCCACAAGGAGGTACTAGAATGTTTCTTTGTGGCTTAAATCCCTTCTGTTAGCACAGCCCAGTTTGTTGCTGTTCATTTTCATCAAGCCACCAACTGGCTGAGTGATCTCCAATTTCAGAATTCAAATTTCAGGCCCAAGCCAACGCCAATGCATTGATGCCACTACATGTAACCGTTCGTTACAAATTCATATTGTGAGTCATCCTAAAATACAGTGTAACATAACCTCAAAAACATTACTGCTTACAGACTGAAAACTAAAAAGAAAAGAAATATAGCTTACCCTTTGAGCGTTGATGTAACTGGAGAAAGGCAGGGACTGCGGACAGGCAGGCTGCTGCTATTACGATTCTTTTTGATAGATAAGTCAAGAACTCCATCTGTTACAAAAAGACAGGAAAAAACTCCATTTAGATTCAATGTTAAGATCAGACTGGCCCGTCACCAGTGCACTAGCTCAGTCACGAACAAGCTGGCCTGTTACTGATGTATTCAAGTTCACACTACCTTGTTCGGTGGGCACAGCCGGGGGCCTCTTGATGGTGAGGTCAAGAGGAGCATCCTGGTCAGCCATGAGGAGCTTGCTGAGGACGGGGTTCTGGTTGTGCGCAGGCCCAGTCAGGGTGGCAGCAGGGCTGGTAGAAGGACGAGCCCCTGAGAGCAAGGGCGGGGTCGGCAGGCTTTGGTCAGAGCGAGGCTGCAAGTCAGAGCCACTGTCCTGAGTGGAGCTGGTTTTTGAGGTATATTCGGCAGCAAACTGTCGGATCATTCTCTGGAGGATCTCTCGAGCCACTACTGGAATGTGTGGGTCCGAGAAATTTGGCACATCTGACAGGGGAAAAAATGAATTGTATGAATATTTTAAGAATAACGGCAGGTTTCGTATGCAACCCCAAAAAACATACACGCTAAAGTAATTTCCCAAAAGCCTTAAGAGCTGTAGTTGAAGCATTTTTTTAATTCATGCATAGAACATTAACATGTATAATTTAAAATAAAAGTGTATTAAGCTATGGCATACACCATCCTGTCTGCAGGCCGGTTCTCTGTACTAAGCACATTAGTGTCATAACAATGTAAAAATACTATTGCACTAAGCTCACTGCATCACTGAGACATAAAGACTTACCTTTTCTGCAGAGGACTGCATTGAGAAATTCCTCGGCTTGCTTCTCTAGTCTGCTGATGGTGGTCTGATCTTTAACCAGGAGAGGTTTGGGTGTGTCTTCAAGCCCCTCGTTGCTTAAGCTAATTAAGTGTTCCTGTCAAATGACAAAACTGGTAAGTCAGTGGTCTTCAAACTTTTAACAGGATACATATACTATATATTGAACAACAGATGAGGAGATAGACCCTGGAGGTATAGCCAGGGTTTCCTGACAGTATAAGAGTATAGCCACTTTTAATACACTCCTAACTTTCATCCATCCATCAACTTCTTTTTGTTTTTCCTCCAAAACAAAATGAAATTCTGAGAGACACACCACCACAATGTAAAGAAAGAAATAGAAAAAAATCTTACCTTTACTTTGTCTCGTCTCAAACAGCAGAATAGACAATTTTCATCAAATGACCAGTCAGACACTGCTATTGGCTCCAAGTCTACAGACACAAAACAGATGACAGGCACTGTGAGATAAAATCTTTGTTTTCGTTTTGTTTTCGTTTTTCTGAGCAATGTGTATTTTTCGGTGAAGGAACTTAAGGCTCAAATCAGTGCCTCAACCGATAGGACAACCAAGGGAGGAGTTGGCACACAGTTACAGTAAGAGCCTTTCATAAGGTGCAACACCAAATGTAAATATAATAATATAATATAATATAATATATAATATAACATAAAACATGTCTTCAGAGTAAGAAGAGGCAGTGGGGGTGCAGACGCTTAATAACTGTCCATTTCTCACAGGATGATCAGACTGCGGTCATTTCTTACATATAGCCAATGCCATACTGTCAAAGCAAATAAAAATATATATTATAAAAATGTCAGAGAAACTATCAAACTTTTTAGGAAACATCAAAGATCAATCACACAGAACATTAACTAAAAAACAGACAAATTAATTCCCTGCTTTAATTTTTATGGTTCAATAGTATTCTGTGTACAAATACAGCATCTTCCTCTGTGCAACACTTCATTTAAGTCCCCTCCCCTGGGGGATGAGGAAGTCTTTTCAGTTCCAAAGAATTTCAGGGTAGAGGCCGAGCCATGGTTTGCAACTATGCTGTGAAAATATGGCATTGGCTAACGCCCAGAATTTGTAAACTACGAGCTGGGTGCAGGAATTTTTCACATCAGTGCCCCCACTGCCTCTTCTAACTCATCCGTCAAGATTGTGTATTTCTACTTAGCAAGTGAGTTCAACAACTAATTGACAGTTACTGGTTAATTTCAGAAAAAACTAAATCAAAAAAATATATAAAAGTTCCTCCGATGCTTGACTGACCAGCATATAATACATTTTGTGTTGAGGTTCCTTCTCTTCCTTCATCACCAACACAACAACAGTACTATCTAGCCACATGTAGGATTAGTCATAAAAATGGTTCTGTTTGAAACCTACAGTGTCCTATATTCAGTATGTAATATTCTTCAGATGAACTCAATGACACGACTCAATAACATAAACATATGAATGAGTAGGCCGAAATGAAAGCGTTTACATTTGTTTTAGTGAGACTGAGTGAGTCTAGAGTAGACTGATTCAGCAGGCTTCGTGCCCAACTGCTGTTGCAGAAAGTCTACTTAGACTTTGACAGTCCTCTCACTGTACATGTAATGAAAACCTAAATAATGCCCACTATTGTCTCACTTGCATCATGCATTGTAAAAATGTCTGTAGGACACTGTAGACTTTTACACTGGCCCCACGCCATCCAAAACACCAACTTTGTAGGAAAAACAAGGCATCTTCTCTTCTGCAGCCAGAGGGGCTGTCTTGTTGAGTGAATGTAGAGGGGTACCAGATGGTACAATGCAGCAGCATTGTCGTAATGAGCAGATAACAGATTATGTCTGGACCACAAAATTCTCAGTCATGTCATTCATACACTTGTATGATCATGGCCACTATTATGATAATGAAAATGGTCTGACATTCTTACCCTTAAATAATTTTAGGTCTTCTACCAGCTCTGGATCGAACAGACCTTCGAGAATGCTCTCAAAACCTGAGGAAAGAAAAGAAATTCAATAAATATACAGCTGCAAACTGAGCATATACATTTGACGCAACACTTGTTTAGATTTAGTCCTAATTAAGGCTTCGTGCTGAAACCAACAGCAGCAGTGCAGAGACTCAAAATGAATCACTGTTTAAGATAAATGCCCAAGGGCCCAAATTAATTTGTTGAACTCAAGGGAAAAAAAATAGTTGGAGCCTGGGCTGCTGTACATCACTGACACTTCATGTGATGATGCTTTATCCATTCACTCAGGCTCGTCTTTGCCTTTCCATTTCATCTTGACAACCCCTGTAAGCAATCCCCTGCCTCTGTTAAAACACACATTATAAGCTTTCACCCCAGGTTTTTACTTCAACAGTAAATACATGCACTCCATCCCCCTGTTGCCAAGCAACGAAAGCACCTACAGAGTTGGGAGTGACTGCATGCTGTAACATTAAAAAGAAACAGCCAGAAACAAGACTGCTATGTGATGGTTTCAGTATCACTGATACGACAACTTACAAAACACTAGCAAAACATCCTAACTTACATATACAGGCTAAGAAAAAAATCTTACAAGCATCACTGATGAGATGGTGGTATCCTATAGTCCCAGCTGTTTGAAATATATAGTACGTTACACTGCACAGGACTTCGCTTAACAGTGCATTAACCCAATATGCAATGTCTGCTTACTGCCGCAGGGTCAGTGTAACCAATCCAAAACCACTGCATGCATTAAATCAAGCCCTAAAGAGGTCAGAGGTAACATCTGTCTACTGAACTGGATCTTAAATGAGACAGAATGTTATTCCAAATGTGCAAGGCATTACCAAGCCAAAAAGTCACGAATCAAACCATTCTGACACAAAATAACATAAAACATGTTTGTTGTAAAGCAAGGTAAAACACATATGCATTTGCTGCACTGAAATTAACAGCATTTAGACATATCTTTAAATGAAAATGACAAGTTAAATTAGCATAATGTGTTGGACATCTAACACATAATAATAAAGGCCTACTTACAGTATGTCCTCACAGATAACAAGTGAGAAAATTATCAGCCCTTCCCATCCACTCTCGTCCTAAACTCACAGTGAATTCAATAAAAGCTGTCATCTGTTAAAATGCCCTCGCTCTGCTTCCTTACAAATTCCCACCCACTTTTCAACAGCCAAACATAAAGAGGGGAGGGGAGGGGGGGCGAGGTGGTGAAACACAGCCTTGCCTATAGCTGCAGCGTGAGTCTGTTTCTGGGTTAGTGCACAGGACTTCAGCTGAAGCTATCCAATCCTATTTCTGAAATATTTCAGAGGCAGGGGGAGAAAAGTAGGTCATCCACTTTCGTTTGACAGAGCAGCGCCATGACATCAAACTACTCTTCAGGAATTCGGTTTAGGGCATTTTAAAATGTGTCATACTGTAAACCATGACTTTGAGGCAATATTAACACATTCCTACTGGCAGAGCACAGTGTGTCGTAGGGACTGATGAAAAGAGCCTCTCTGCACAAACCTTTATAAAACAAATCCTGCAACTTAAATTTAGAAGAGCAGGCTCCCTACATGTGCAAGAGATAAAATATTGATAGTGTCTATAGCTGTCATGGAAGCTTTACAAAATAAATGAGTTATAAAAACAGTGGATAATGGCCACAGTTATGCACAATAAACGATATAAAAACACCAACATGTAAAGGGTGCCCTACACTTGACTACAGTTGCCATCAGTTAGGCACTTTTGGTTGTAGAACTTACAACGTCAAGCTTTTAAGGTGTATTTCCTGTTAGAGGAAACATTCACCAATTAATTTACAGAACAGGGAATTAGGCCACCATTTGGCTGCCACTACACATCTGGTTTGGTGTACAGCGATCAGCCCCCAGATGCAATAATAAGCACAGGGTATAGAGGTAAAAAGTGATAATGAGAAAAAGATAAAGGAGCCCGGTATTATTTGCCACTGGGCATAACACCTAATTATATTAAAATTTATTGAAGCCTAATGAAAATGACAGCCAGGACAACGATATCAGGTTAATGAGGTTAGAAATATGAAACATACGTCTGTAGGCCTAATTGCATTGACAACATGTCATTCAACCTTATTAGAAGATAAAGTCTTTCATCCAGAATTGTTAGGGTTTTTTTTTTACTGAGGTTGTTACTCATTTATGTCAGTCATTTTGCTCTATAAAAGGAGAATGATGATTCAAGACCATTTTTCTATTTCCAACCGTTGTCAGCTTGTTTTGTTTTTTTTTTATTTACTCCAAATACATACAGTACTGTGGCTTGCCTCCAGATAATTTATGGCTGAGTGGAGCCACAGCTTAATTTTCACAGAGGTATGCTGAAATGGAAAATAAAATCAACTTTGTTCTGGAGATGAGAGCAGCAACTTTTTAGCAACAAAATACACATTATTTCTAAAAATAAATCTCCCCTTTTAACCATGAAATAGGGAATAAATAATAAGAAGCTGACATTGCAGACCCTTACATCAAACCTACTGTGATTTCACTATTGGTCCACTGAGAATAGGAAATAAAAACAGCATGCTTACTAGTATTATATTATTGCAATGTAATTAGGCAACTACTTTTTATTTATTTTAAGGAAATGTTTCAAACCAAACAATATCTCATGATGAGCGTATAAAAAAATATGTACAGATGAATGCAGCTTTTCTTTTTTCATTCATACAACAATGCTGTTTATTTTACTCATTACTCTTCTACAACTAGGGACCATAACAACGACATTTAACTGTACTGAAGCAAATTTTGAATGAATTCTGTAATTCATCTGCAGAGGGCTTGGCTACAGATAGACTATGGGATTATGCTTATATGCACTTAAGAAACCTGCAATATGTGTGGACATCTTTGCAAAAGATTAGCTTTCAACCAAGCTTCTACATGCAGGAAACATGTTGACAGTAAAGGAATTCCTCTTGGCAATGTTACATTTTTAGACTTACTAATACAGCTTAAATTCTGACAAAACAGCAGTTTGGTTGCAATGTATAAACATCTCATCAATACATGTATAAGTGATCATTTTGTCAATAACAAAGAGGAGCCTCAAAACTACTAAGTATGACCAACAGCAAAACCAATCACATAAAGAGGAAAAAGCAAGGAAATAACTTTTGTGAAACTGTGAGCAGCTATGTTTGAAATTGAGATTTGATAGATGACTCAAGCATCAGCAACAAACCATAAAGGTTCTGGATACTCATATCTAGAACCTTTATGGTTTGTTAATATAGCATAAAACAACCATTTTTGAAGATATAGTGGAGTAATTGTGCCCTATGCAGAGAATGAAGTCACGCTAACTCTGTGTTTGTTGTAATCCGAGTGTCTCTGGTCTTTGTTTTGATAGCCACGCCATCCGCACACTGGTTAGATAAATGCTCCTGCTCTGCACTGTACTCACACGGCGGTTATGACTGGTTACTGTCCACCACCATGGTTCGGGACAGCGTCTTCGCAGAAGCGTAATGCCCACCTAGTTCCAACTCCCTAAGATTAAACACTGTTAGCTCTGTCAGCACTACTGCCATTGATAGCACTGTTAGTAGCATCATTAGCTTGGCTAGCACTGTTAGCTGCCGCCATTTTGGCTCAGCCACCTCCATGTTTGGTTGTGAGGTCAGAGATGACAGCCATGTGCAGGCAATCGGAGCCCAGACTCTGAATGTTGTATACAGCACTTTTAACAATGAAACTTTCTAGGAGGGCTTTTCATGGGGTGTTTGTATGCTTAGTGAGCAACAACTCTGCCCGATCTGCCTAAACCTTGATCGTAATACAGGACGGATACAGACAGCAAGCGCATGTATGCTTCTATAGATATGACTAGGGTATGCATACACAGAAGTGGTCCCCAAATGCAGAGGGCCTACAACAAAACACAATAGCATTTGTCTGAACAACCTCATTAAGTCAAAAGACAGAAAATAGCATGTGCGCCCACTTCACAAGAATAGGACCATCGATGGAGAATGCTATACATTAAGTGTACGAAATAAGCCTCCATTTTACTTTTCTAGCACATGCTCAGTGGACACACTTGAAGGATTGATGGTCTACACGGGCAAAAAGTTTGGGCTGCATGGAGACATCCGCACAGGGGTCCACATGGGTTCTCGTGGACTTGGGCAGATGACGAAATGTATATCACACGGATGCAGAAACCATGAATTGGCCTTAAGCCATTTCCTGACCTACATCTGTTGCCAATCGGAGAGGAAGAGAGGGACGATTAGAAGTGTGCTACAACCTTCCCACCAGCACTTAGAAAGCAAAATCCCACAGATCTACGATCAGCTTAACCTCCCTAAATCCTGACCTTAACCTATGCTGTACATCAGTGTGAATTGAACATAATAAGAGATAAGACCCCTCTTTACTAACATTGGCACTATGTATGTTAGTAATGTAGCCAAAAGGTCAATTTTCAGCCGATACACAAAATCGCTAAGCAACCTCTAGTCAACTATGTAGTCCAGTGTAACCTGCATAACTCAGTGCATGTTCGTTACAATGTGATAAATTCAATACTGTAAAACAACTGAAATCGACAAATATGTGATTCAAAACATACTCCAAAAAAAATCTAGTTTCACATGTCACCTAAATTTCCATACATATGACTGAATACTGTCTACACCCATTGTGCTGTTGGGGAATTTAATACCATACCTGAAGTGACAGCAGGATACTACATTGAGAAGGAGGTAAAGCAGGCAGAGCTGGTGTTTCCAAAACTACTTTCAACACCACAATCGCTCTTAGCTCATGTTGCTTCATGGTTTCAGAAGTATTTTCTTCACACTGTACATCTGCAGTGGAAGATTATTTTTGATGATAACCTCAACCGTACTGTTCCTAACTTTTACACAGAGGATTCCTCCAGTTAATTTAGCATTGCTATAGGGTTGTTGTGTGGACTTTGCTTGTATGTCGCAATTGTTCAACTAATTTCTGAGA